CCCACGCCCACGCCCACGTCCACGTTCATCGTCCGTCTTGCACATCAATTTATAATTTAGTTTCTTTAATGTACTAGATATCCTAACTATCACTTTTAATCCAAAGCATAAGGCTTGTATAAGATTTAAGTCAACAATTCATTCAACCTTGTCCTACCTCTCTAGTGGTAATCCATAACCTACAGCTCCCATGTAAGACCTAATTCTTAGTCTCTAATACCTAACCTATAATGCCCCAAAAACCACCGTGGGAAGCATTACTATCTATAACCATTCATATAATGAGAGCAACTAACAAAATTCATAAATAAACGAATTTTCATTCATCGTCCATAATAATTAAAACATCATCCAAAATAAATATGCCAAACTACGGTGATTACATCCCAAAAATCAACAATTATCTTGCAGTGGAATAAATNTCATTCATCGTCCAAAATAAATATGCCAAACTCTGGCAATTACATCCTAAAAATCAACTATTATCTTGCAGCGGAATAAAGAAAATATTAACCTTAACATTATCTCAAAATGTTTCCCCCCCAATCTAGAATATAAGGGAAATAGCTCTAAACGTTCACCTCGGGATCCCTGTTCCTGTCAATCTGAGCTTCCCAATTCACTTGTTCATCAACTCTGAGCTCTTCCTCTAAACCGTAATCTGAAAAAAAATTTGTTTGTAACGGGTGAGCACTAAGCTCTGTAGGAAAATCCTCCTAAGCTTGAACAAAGTTTTGAAAATATATAAAACAAGTCGGTCTCATTTCACAAATAATCATATATAACTTTTGAAAGAAAACAGTGACAGTTCATCCGATCTCAAGTTTACGTAGTATCAATAAATTAAATGAAGAAGTAAAACCAATTTCCAAACAATAAACCATTACCAACATTTGTATCATTTCCAACAATTAACCATTACCAACATTTTGTATCATCTCTAACAATTTTGTATCATTATCCCAAATTGTATCTCAGGTAGGAAGTAAGGCTTCGCATGAATACATACATTGAGAATATCCTGGCCCACACACACACCCCCAATTCTGGCAAGGATATATAACTTTAGGAAGGGCATATACCGATGCATCGGTAGTGACAATCCAACCCAGGAATAGTATACTAACTCTCAGCCTTGATACCACATGAGCGAATATTGTTTTGGTCTTCGCAAGGCACCAACCCCACTACGAGTGGTAGAGAACCTTTAAATTCACTCGGAGTAAGAAACACATCTACCCACTCTACGATACCTGGTCAACGGTCACCCATGTTCATCTAAACATCCACAGAAGAGATACAATACTCAACTAATTTCTCAAATCACAAGTAAATCAAGAACCCCAAATTCTACATGTATTTTTCCAGCATAACAACTCAAGACAACAAGCAAGAGATCATCAAAAGATATAATTTTATTACTCCAAATAAAGGACTAAAGTTTTTGAATCAAGAACAATGGAATATCAAGGGAAAAACCTCTATTTCTTGAAAAAAACAAGGATTTTAAGATAAAAAACAAAGGATTTTATGGCTATCAAACCATAACTTCATTCAAAACACGATATGATTTGCAAGAACATCAAAAACAAGAATTCCATAACAAATATCTATGATTGAGAGTCAAAACATACATATATATAAACTCTAACCTTAATGGACAAGATTAGGAAGAAACCTATACCTTGCTTCCTTAGTGTCGTGTGAAAAATTAGAGGTTTTGATCTGATCCAATGTGAAAATCCCCTGCAATCTTGCGTTTCTCCCCTCCTTTTTTACTCTCTAAAACTCTCTAGGGTTAATAATATTGAAATGAGGCTAAGAGAGGCGTCCTTATATATTTATAGGGTGAGAAAAGAGTCCAATCGACGTTAATTTGATACTCTAAATCCTAACTCACGTTCGAACGTCATTTTGGCATTCGAACGTCATTGGTGTTCGAATGTTAGTTGCTCCTAGTAATTTTTATTTTTCATTAGATTTCTATCAGATACAAAAGTACTATGACGAAATGTCACTCAAACGGATCCTCACGTTCGAACGAACTTCCATTTTTAGATAAACTTCCAATGAAGCTTTGGCCTATATATAGGTTGATTTGGAAAATTTTTCGTGAAAATACACATTTGTAGCCCTAGATGTCTAGTGTCTACTATAATAATTTCAGCTCAAACGGACATCAGGATAAAAAGTTATGGTCCAAATACTAAGACAGTGTCAAATTCTTTCCTACTCGAATTCTATTTGCAATGTGTTTTAACTCCAAAATACTTCCTAACTTCTAATACACCCCATATTACCTCTTCCAATGTTTATCGATCTTTCGGATTCAATGAAAATCTTATTTTGACCTAAACATTTTGAACTTACCTAACAACCCTTCCCAAATTTAAACACCTTCAAAGCTTAAACTTCACAATCAATTTGTCCCCAGAGGATTTATTTCTACTGTTATAATCTATATGGTTCATTCTTACGTCATTACATATATTAGAATTACTAAACAATTATATTACTATATTAATAAAAACATGTGGGGGTTTACACTTTGCCTTTCAACAAGACTTTGAAATTTTCAAAAAACATCGAACACATCCAATTTTTGTCTCATAAAGTAAACCCATGTCATTCTAGAAAAATCATCAATAAAAGTAATGAAATACTTGTTATCTCCATGGGTCATTGCGTCCATAGGCCCACACACATCTGTATGAACAAGCTCCAATGGTGTTTTAGCTCTCCATGCCTTGTCTTTTGAAAATGCCTCCATTGTTGTTTTCCAAGAGCACAGCCTTCACAAACTTCTTTGACTTCTTGAATCTTCGGCAAACCATGCGCCATGCTTTTTTGTTGTAGATACTTCAAACTTTGAAAATTCAAGTGGCCCAATTTCTTATGGCAAAGCCAAGTCTCATCCATAAAATTTATCTTCAAAACAACATTTTTTGCATACCTCAAAGTGAGCGGAAAGCTTCTATTTTTCTCCATCTTGATTGTTGCAACCATTTGCTTGCTCCCCCATTTTTCATAAATCTTGCAAGTATCATCTTCAAAGTGAACTACATATCCATGCTCCACCATTTGACCAACACTCAACAAATTTTGCTCCAAGTTTGGAACTAGTAAAACATCCCTTATGTATCTTGTTCCTTTCTAGGTCTCCACCGCAATAGTACCCTTTCCTTTTGCTTGGACTAAGACATCGTTACCCATTTTGACTCGCGAATTGGAGGAAGTATTAAGGTTGGCAAAAAAATTTTCATCACTGGTCATGTGATTACTACAACCACTATCAACAAACCAAACATCACATTTTTTCTCCAAAGCATTGTGATACGCATAAAGCATGTTCCCATTGACTTCTTCTTTTTTGGTAAAATTAGCTTGCTAGTTGGTTACCCTACAATCCTTATTCACATGCCCAAATTTCTTGCAATTATAACATTGTGGCTTCCCCTTAAACCAACAATCTTTCTCCACATGATTAGTTTGATTACAAATTTTACACTTTCTTTGGGTGGACCCCTTATTATCTTGTGAAAACTATTCTTTCCTCCACCTTTTGCATTATCAAATTTTCTTTTCCCTTTTTCACCTTCCGATTGATTGAAATTCCAAGAGCTTCCTTGAGTTTTAGAACCAACAACATTGAGCTTCGATTGGAAAACACTTTCAAGTGATTTATCTATTTGCTTACTCAATCTTTTCTCAAATGATTTAATTGAACCCATCAATTCTTCAACACTCAAGGTTTCAATGTTCTTAGTATTTTCAAGAACCTCAACAATGGGGTTATAGTCTGCCGTCAACGTAATGAAAATTTTTCCCACACTTCTTTCATTAGTTATATTATCCCCATGTATTTTCATTTGGTTCACAACTTCCATCAATCTAGAAATATAATCTTGCAATACTTCACCATTTTTCATTTTCATATTTTCAAAATCTCTTCTCAAAGATTGAAGTTTAATTACTCTTACCTTCACGTTTCCCCGATACTCCTTTTGAAGAATATCCCAAGCATCCTTTGTCTTGGTCTTGTTGATGATCCTTGGAAAAATCTTGTCCGAAATTTCTTGTTGAATCATTGAGAGAGCTCTTGCATCCTTCCTCTTATATGTGCTTTCAATATTTGCTTTGGAGCATCCATAAAAAAACTGACATCTTCGGGGTTATCATATCCATCTTCAACGTACTCCCACAAATCATTTGAAATTAGTTTGGTTTTCATTTTCACACACCAAAAATCATAATTCTCACTGTAAAATTGTGGAAATGGAGGTCGTTGAGCTCCCAAACTTTGATTACTTGAATNACCAATGAAGAAGTACTGCTATGAGCATTTGGGTTTGATCATAAAGTCGATGGTGTTTGTAGTACCCTCACACAAGGAGACTCGGTTGTTTTAAGACAGTGATTACACATTTCTCGGATTCGCACACCAGCTTTTCTATTTGGTTATTTAAATTACTTGCTAATTTATATTAATGTTTTAATTTATTGTAAACTCTCCTACATTATTGTGCTAATTTTCCCAATAGAATCAACTTGTGAAATTTTCAAAGGTTGCCACTCCTAAACATATTTTAATTTCCAACAATAAGACCAATTTCTTTCCTTTAAGTTTAAAACTCATCAATTTCTACTGATAAGGTTCCAATATTAATCAAAATGTAATAATATCTCTTTGGTTTAATCAAATTGGTGGTTGTATATAGATCATCTAGTCAAGACAGTCATTAAAATTATAGTCGATTCTATAAATATTTTCCCACTTTGTTTATGTTGGCCCCCAAAAGATTTTTTTTTTTTGCTTCTTCCTACTCTTAAAGACACTATTGATGAATTATAGATCCATTCTTGACTATGTCCAAAATCTCATGCTAGTCCAAGTTGATCTGGGTTTTAATTATTGCATCATTTCACAAGCGTTTTATTTCTTTAAGAAGTTTTCTCAGATGTTGCATGTTCACATGAACTGATAGTAAGTAAAATTGCAGATGGATTATCTACTGGGGAAAAACCCGAAAGGAAGATCACTCATGGTTGGGTTTGGTAATAAACCACCAACACAAGCCCACCATAGAGGTGCTTCTGTCCCAATGTTGTCAGCAAACAATGTGGTGAGCTGCCCAATGAGCTTCGTTAACTGGTTCTCCACGAATGCACCAAACCCCAATGAGCTAACAGGTGCCATCGTGGGCGGCCCCGACAAGTATGATACCTTTGTCGATCAGCGTTCGAATTCAGCCATGACCGAACCAACAACATATACTAACTCGTTGGCGATTGGTGTTCTTGCAAAGCTTGCAAAACATCACTCTAAGTCATGAATTAATGTTCTACCATTGTATTATAAAAAAATTGCATTATGTCTGGGTAGAAATTACTTTGGCTGCTTGTAAATAATGAAGCCAAAATTTGCATCTCCTGTGCAGACCTGTATTTATACTATACCTGTGAGGTTTGTGAATGAAATAAGCAAATGGGAATTTTTGGACACCAAACCTCTTTTTATACAAGATTTTATTTAACATTTTTATGAATGGTGAAATGGACATGTATAACCAACCCCAAATGATTAGCACATAAGGTTTGGTTTGGTTTCGTTTGATTTTATAAAATTTATCTTCATTTTCAGATGACATCGTACTAATTGCTTAAAGGGATGCATTTTCGTACCAAAATGAGATTGGAGATTTTGGAGGACCAAATTTTTTTGTGGTAGCTTCATCTTAATATGTATATATATATCTAAATTATGTTAAAGGACTTCTAACTCAAAACCAACAGACAACAATGAGTGGAGTGATTGAAAAGGGTCATACTCATAGTTTGGGAGGTGTTATTCTATCAAGTGATTTTGTGCGCAATTGTAGTTATCAAATGATGTGGTACATTAACCATTGAGAGTGCAAGTTGGATCAACCAACACGCTTGCTAGAGACGTGGAGTCTTAACTAGATTGACCTAGAGTGGCGATAAATAGCTCTTAAGCACTCAGATGCAGAAAATTATGCCCAATTAAAATCCTAATGACTTAATTGGTCAATTAAAGCTTTAAACCCCTCAATTAGATGGATGGATGGATGAATGCAAAATACCTAAATTTACCAATGAATCATAATGCTCAATTCACCAACCTTATCCCTCCAAAACTGTTAGGAAAAATATTATAAATTGATAAATTCTGTAAGGTCACTATATATCTCGTATCTCATCTAAATTCATAATCAAAAGACTTTTGAAGATTGAAGACCAAAGCAAGAAAGGGTGAAGAAGCTCAAACTATATTGCAAGACATTTAAAGACTTCATTGATAATATCAATCTTAGGTGAGGTAAGTTGACCTAGAAACTAGTTGCCTTAGTCTGATTTAACTTAGGTTGTAAAATTGGATTCAGAGTTTGAGTATTTAATCTGTTCTTGACTCGTGTATCTTTTGTGTTAAAATATTTTTTTAAACTTTAGGGTTTTAGTTTTTGAAAATAATTTTTGAAATGAGTAACTGAATGGATTCTTTATAGGACACCCCTTAGTACTTAGAGGTTGTTTTCGAGCCTTGGGTATTTTTTGGGAAAACCAATAGATATAACTCTTTGTGTGCTCTTGAGACATAGGAAATCGACCAGGGGATGAAATTTCAATTCCAGTGATCAACACACTCCAGTGCCCACCATCCACAACAACAAATTTATTTTTTAGTGATGAATTGACTCGTCGCGAAAGGTAAAAATTAGGTCACTAAAATTTTTCAACGACAAACTTATTTCGTCGCCATTTTGTCACCTTAGGCTTGTCTAGAAATGTTTTCAATGAGAACATAATATTTGTTGCCAAAAGTAAACAATAGGCCACAAAAATGTTGTCAGAAAATATTCTCATTTTGTTGCCAATGTTCTGTTCGTCACCCAAAAAATAAACTATTTTAACCCATAAAATCTTTAGCGATAGTATATTCGTTGCTAAATATAAAAAAAATTCAGCTATCAACTCTATTTCATCGCTAAATACAAATACACATAATACAATAAACAATAGACGACAAAGTACATTCGTCACAAAAAAATAGACAAGGTTTTAGTGCTGACCTATTTCTTAGCCACAAATATTTTTTAAAAATTTATAGGTCCCTAACATTTGTTTGGCCCTGTAAAAATTAAAAAAAACATGTTACAATTCAAAAATATTCCAACCCAAGAGTAGTGGGTAAACATTCCAACCTGTAACAATTCAAAAATACATGTACGCTTGTACTTGATTTGTCATTCAAATAATTCTTGACCCAAGAATAAAAATAATAAACATATGAAATTATTGGAGTTACATACATAATCCAAATTCAATTACCATGAGTATAACAGAATCCTCAAATTTGTCAAAAAATAACTGCATAATTCCAATTCATAAATAAAACATAAAGTAAACATCTACACTCCTCCCAACACCTGCAAAACAAGAAGAAAAAAGAAAATAAAAAGGGTAAAACGGAAGTAGGTACAATTTTTTAGACTTAATTGAGCAAAAATACAACACTAAATCTTATTTGGACTAAAGTGCATATTTTTCAAAAATGACAAGAATGTCATTTGGTTAAAAGGGGAAGAANTTGACTCGTGTATCTTTTGTGTTAAAATATTTTTTTAAACTTTAGGGTTTTAGTTTTTGAAAATAATTTTTGAAATGAGTAACTGAATGGATTCTTTATAGGACACCCCTTAGTACTTAGAGGTTGTTTTCGAGCCTTGGGTATTTTTTGGGAAAACCAATAGATATAACTCTTTGTGTGCTCTTGAGACATAGGAAATCGACCAGGGGATGAAATTTCAATTCCAGTGATCAACACACTCCAGTGCCCACCATCCACAACAACAAATTTATTTTTTAGTGATGAATTGACTCGTCGCGAAAGGTNTAATAGGATTCTCTGGCAAAGGGATTTGATTTGAATTCCATAGATTAGAGAAGATTAACATTGAATTTTGCCCAAAAAACAGAGGAATAAGAGGAGTGAAAATTTGGCGGTTTGCTATCCAGTACTTGTTTATCGTCGCCAACCAAATTTTCACTAGAAATTGTAGGTGCCCTTCAAGTTTTGTTTTTATATTTTATTATTATTTAGTTCTTAGTTTTTTTTTTGTTCAAAACTCTGTAATTTGCTTTTCAAAAAAAAAACAAAATCATAAAACCCCAGTTTCATAGATGAGAATAAGAAATTCTAGTTCTTTAATATTGAATTAGTAAATTATAAAAGTGAAATTATTTGCAAATGCAAATTGTAAACATTTTGAAAAATTATTTTTTTGATGTAACAATGTTAACTAACAATTTGAGATTCAAAATATTCCATTCATTTTTTCTATTTGTGGTAACTATTGTGCATATCGCCTTCTGTTTGTGGTTACTATTGTGTAGATTTCATTTTTTTTTTCAAAACTTTGAATTTTTTGTTTGTAAAACCAAAAACAAAAGTATAAAACCTAATTTTAGAGATGAAACTAAATAAATCAAAGTCTTTTATATTAAATGAGTAATTCAAAAGTTGGACTTTTTTAATACAATTTGTAAATAGTTTCAATAAATTTTTATTTGGTATAACTGTGTTGAGTAACTATTTTGAGATTCAAAGTATTTCATTCTTATATCTGTTATTGGTAATTGTATTGAAGTTACAATCAACATTTGAATTGCACAAAATGTATGAGTTAATGTATTTAATTTTTTTTTTTGGGTAAAATCCCAACCCATTTTTTGTTAAAAGAAAATAATTGGAGGTCAATTCTTACATCATTAATGCATGTATGTAAAAATTGAAATTATTGGTATTTTTTAATTAACTCAAGCATGTTGTAACTATTGAGTATCTGTTAAGGTGAATTGCATGTTAAATGTACATATTCATTTTATGAAACTTAGTTACACCCTACAGTGATACATAATAATACTTGTGTACAAAAATATAGTTACTATGTGCAATCGAGTTACACCCAAAATGTATAATGCTCCTAAAAATGTATCTCAAACCCATTGTAAACAATTAAATAGTTACCAATCTGTGGACTAATGGCTAGGTTAATATAGATACATATTACTGTATGATACCCTAACATAGTTGATGCCTTAAACAGGACATGGCGAAGACACGATCTTCAAAAAGAAAACTTGATATAAGGCGTAGCAAAGAAACTCCACTGCTGGAGTCCAAATCAAATAAGACAATTGTTGAGATAAAAGACAATCAAAGTGAAGTATATGTAAGTGGTGCAAGGTATAAGCCTCAGTATCGATCAAATATGCTTGCCACTATCAGGGCAATTGAAGAACTTCATTTGAAAGAGTATCACAAGACAACATTGAAAAAGACTCCATTTTGGTTGCTTTTTGAGAAATCATTGACCAAACTGTGGACAAAACATGGTGCCAAAAAAGTTACAGCAGCATCCTTGAAATATTATTATGTTTCAATGCCGATACATCAACATTCATTATCGGAAGCGAAAAACTGAAGTTGCGACCTAGTGATGTGACTCTAATATTTGGTATACAAGATGGGGGTAAAAAAATTGGTTGTACAATACATGGAAAATTGTTTACACCATATACTGAACGATATTTCGAAAAGGATTGAATGTTAATAAGAAGCAAGCTAAAACAAGTGTCCGAAGGGGCAGTGAGACTGGTTATGAGGATTTGGCAAGATTATTGTGTATGTATTGACTTGATCTGAAATGTGTACACCCAAGTGAAGGCGGTCAAGCTGTAGTAATAATTCGGTGAAGTCTGGAGTCAAATCCACAGGGAACTATGATTGGTGTTTTGAGGTAAGCAATAATAGAGACCAAGTAACTTTGGAAATTTCGAGTGTTTGGAGTGGTGGAATTTTCTTGATTAAAATAGAAGATTCTTTTCAAGAATTTTCTAGACAAAATATAAGATTCTAAAAATGGAAAAATCACTCTTTAGCTCGAGGATGAAGACATGTAATAGAGTATCCGTTTTATTATGTTTGTGCTTTATAACTCAATTAACTCCCGTGTCAACAACAAGTTAATCGGAAGATAAAGATGGACTACGAGCATTAAGCACATGGTTCCGATGCCTTTCTAGAAGTTTACAAGAATTGTCTGTGCCGAGACTTAACCTGTCCACAAACAAGCAAGTGTTTCTATAAGACATCCAACCATAGCATTAATGATCCACTCCTTGAATAAAGCGCAATAATAGTGGGGATTGAAAGGTTGTCATGAAGAGCTAACCGGGGTGCTTGCATTGAACCATCAGATCTTTCTATGCAGGAGTCATCCGTATCATAGATGGAGCCCTAGTTATACAA